ATGCGGCATGGTGTATTGCCATGCACGTGTTCAGGGAGAGAGGTGGCATTGAACTCGTTTGCTTTGCCTCGAAGCAGTTGCAGCAACAAGAAGGAGAACAGGAAAACTCAACAGCAACGTCTGCACAAACAAAGCACAAAAAAGTTGTGGCAAATCCCACATCGCTGGTTTTTAATTTTTCTTGTGTGTGCCTTTCCTGTTGCAATGGCCACTACTACTACTACTACTACTAGTACTACTACTACAGCCACCTCCAGAGCCTATTTGCCGGCCTCGTCAGCGCTTATGCGGGACCCACACAAGTTTCATACTAATCGCAACGAGCGCAAGCCCCACCACAGAGACGATGAGGAGAATCAGTGAAGACCTCCCCCAGCTGTCGTGGGTGAAGCCCTCCATTGCAAGGTATTGATTGCCTGTGTAACAGTACGATGTGCTCGCGTTGGCGTCGCATGAGTAGGGATTATCGCGCAGCTCAGATGCCACAACACCGCCGTAGCCGTACCGCAACACCGAGAGGGCCGGAAAAACTCTTGGCACCGTTGGCAGGCATATGAGGAAGCCGCTTAATATGATGCAGTAGCCGTAGTACAAACTATGCACGAACCACAGGTCTTGCTCAATTGGGTGCCAATATACGAGCAGCAACATCAGCGAGGCATGTGCGAGGCTCATGAGCCCCATTATTACCACAAGTGCGAGCGGCGACGTCAGCAGGAATAGCGTGCACGCCACCGCAACCACCGCAAAGACGACACGCGGCAGAACAAGACGAAGCACAGTGGCCGTGAAGTACTGCATCGCGTCGAAGTAGTTGTTGTTGCGGAGATGCACAGCTGAAAAGAACTCTCTCACCTCTGCATCAATCAGAACAATGTTCGCCTGCATCGCAGACGACAGAAGGAAAAAGACAACGCCTCTCTTGTTCTGCATTGTATTCTGGTCACTACCAGACCATGCAATCAGCGAGGCCATTAAGAAAAAAAGAAGAAAGAGAATTGTCCATGCAATGACAAAGCTGCGGTGCCCAATCGTCAGACGCCGACATGTGTACGTTGTCAGCATGTACCAACGCCGGAAGTAATTGGGCGTCAGCGCAGCAGCACGCGGGACAGGGTCGAAACTGTTCGATGCAATGCTTTTTCGATGCTCCTCGACCTGCAGCCGAATGCGACGATACGACACACCACTCGCGAACACGCCTGCCACGCGAGCGGATTCATTCTTTTCATCCAGCATCGCCAGCAGCTCACCGATTGATTCACCACTTGTGTCTTGTATGCCAACCTGCTCGCGGAAGAACTCCTCCAAGTCGGTCTTTGGGCCCGAGTACAGCAGATCTCCCTGCGAGCCCAGCAACAGGAAGTTGTCTGCGGCCTCATAAAGCGCTCGTGGGACTTCCGTCGCTGAAAGCACCACAAGTCGACCACTACCACTAACAAGGCCCTGCAGCACGGAAACAAAGCCGTGCGTCTCTCCAGTGGAGAGGTTGCTCGTCGGGCTATCGAGCGCCAACAGCATCGGACGCTGTACAAGCTCCATGCCCAGAGCGAGCTGATAAAGCTGTGGAGGACTCAGCTGCTCCGTCTTGACGTCAAGCAGCTGCTGCAAATGCACCGCCTGGGCGGCTTCCCTCACTATGTGCTCCTCATGCTCCGTATCGACCCGCATCCGCACAGAAAACAAAAGGTTACTGCGCACGGTCGCATCCCTTGAACAGACCTCAGTAGAGGTGATGAGGGCAACGCGTCGCCGAAACGCGGTAGAGACGACTGGAAGCGCATTCGCCATGACCGATCCACTCGCTCTCTCCTCAACCCCAGCTAATATCTCAAGCATCTTGCGCGAGCACAGTGGATCTGTGCACATCACAATGGTAATGGTGTCAGGAAGGAGATAACCAGACACATTGCGCAGGAGAGCACGCGGTGGCCGAAAGAAGGATGACCGCGTCTCCATGCAAACGTTTTCAAAGGCCATAACAAAGCCACGTCGTGCGTGCGTCACAGCTTCAGACGCCCCCAACCGCAGGAGCTCCTCAGTCTCTGGGGTTGCTACCTCTCCAGTATCGGCCGCAGGTAACATTGTTACAGTTTCTACTGCTGTCGCTGATGAGGGTCCCTCTTTGGATGGTGTGCTCAGTGGAACAGTGGCGGGCCGCTCCGTCATGGGCACATCTTCCTCACCACCGTCGAACGCAGCAATTGTCTCATGTTGTTGCTTCTGTCGCTTCCGAAAGAGCTGCATGCAGCGTCTAGCCCTATGGTTGCTTGAGCTATCAAGTGGTGTGGGTGTGGAGGAGCAAACCATAAGAAAAGGCAGATGCTTGACTTGTGCCGACACGGTCTTCTTCGGACCCTCCCATATCTGCCACCTCAGCGACAATACAGATACGAAACTAACTGGAAATAAAAAGCACAGATTTGCGTCTCAAATTTCCCTTGAAGTCGCGAGGGAAAAAAAAAAGCATGCCATTGAAGCTCCCCACAACGCACTAAGGCGCTTCGAAAGAGCGCGTGCTATCGGGCATTCCACCACCGGGCTCAATTCGGCGGATGTGCAGCCCAGTGGGTCATGGTGGTTTGCTCGGCCACAGCGCGGCGCTCCTCACCGTTACCAGACTCGGTCTGCATGCTTTAATCAAATTGTAACAACATCCTTAGACAGGAATCAATGTGATTCACCTGAAGCGCTAAACTTCTCCCCCGATTAGAGGCCCCAGCTGAAACATAGCTGCATCTGCTCTGTGATTTGGTTGGAGATCTCCACCAGGGATGCCTCCTCCCGGTCAAGCTCCATTAGCTGCTGCTCCCACATAGATATCCGCGCATGCACAGTTTCCTTGGCAGCTTCCGAACTGTCAAGGATTTCTTTCAGAGTTTTCGAAAGGAAGGCAATGCGCTCATTCAGACGGTCCAACTCTTGGCCAAGCCGCATTTCCTCATTTGAACAATCTTCGTTGTATTGATTGTTTATTTCACATACACTGCCACACGATGTGCGATGGATCTTCTCCCCTTCTACCGCTTCACTCGGTCCCACCACATGGCAAACGCTGAGCAACGCTCCGGGTGCTACAGCTGCACCACCGGGCTGCTGAGGGCAAGAGCCCTGCTGTTGGGCACACTCACTCCTATCGCCCTCAAAATCTTTTTTACGCAGTTGTGCGACGGGAGAGGTAGCTTCGGGAATGGCACGATCCCCACCCTGAGGCATACTTGTTTCATTATAACTACTCTCTTTACCGCCGTTTTCCCGTGAGTTTTGTGTGGGCTCTTGAATATGCAACGGTGGTATTGACGCCCCTGACGCGAACGCTGGCGAACCGCTGGGAGTCTGGTGCCGACACGTCTCGGGGGCACAGGCTCGCAGTGGCGGGGAACTCAACACGCCGACAAGAGGCACAGACGTGCCACCGGAAGAAACACTCTTACCCTTTTCGTTGCTCTCCTCGCAGACCAAGATGCACGGGCTCTCCAACATCTGATCCACTTGTTGATGAAAAATAGGCAGTTGTAAGAGTTCCAGAATGCCAAAGACAGAGACAGGGGTCTTGTCACTCTCCAAACCAAATGATATCTCTCTCGATACATCTTTTGAGTCCTCCTGAAGCTTTGCGAGATCCACACTTAGCGTGGAAGCTGGCATCTTCAGACCGTTCCTGCAAACTCTGAAGAGCGTCACGTCCAGCTGCTGTGCCGCCAGCGTGCGCAGCGTTCCGGTGAACACCAACTTCAGTGGCATCGACTCTTGCCAACTCACGCACCCCGACTTGGGCCGTATTAATGCACTCCATGCTTCCGTTTTGCACGAGGAGAGTTGACAACGCAATTTATATTCGCCGGCATCGAGACCAGAGGCGCGCACCTCCTTGATCCGCAATTCCACATCTCCTATTTGCTCCATGAAGAGAAGCATCGACAATTGTCCCACTGTTGTCATCTGGCTGACTTCACCCGGTGGCACCAGCTGAAACGAGCACTGCGCACCAACTTTCCGCACCAGCTGCAGCAAGCTCGTCGAGGCGAGACCTACCAAAACCTCCTTTTCGCTCCCGTCAATAAGAATAATCTGAAAGACAGCTGTGCGCTGGCTGAGCGTCGCGACGAGGTTCCGTAGCGAGTCAGCACCGACGCGATATTTGAAGGAGGTGCGCCTATTCGCTCTTGGAACTTGCTGCTTCGAGGGAAACGCAAGATTCACCACTTTGCCGTCAAAAATAAGACGGAGGACGAGCGTACTGCCTCCATCAGCAGCAACACCTTCTGGAATTTGAAGGTCGGAAACCATCCAGCGCGAGACACGGATCTGGAACAGCCATGGAACCATGGAAAAGGGTTTCACTAGAATTGTCAAACACCTTTTTTCAATGGCACCCTAACTGTGTAATCGTGCCCAATCTGAGATCACAAAACAGAAAAAAAAGAATGTCATTGACCCTATGAATAGGATCATTCTCACAAAGCGCGAGTAACTGCGTTCGCACCAATTCACATGTAGCCACCGGGCATCTTTACTATCATCTTACCGACAGTGGTGGTGGAGGTGGTGGAGGAGGTGCCGGCATTTTCCTTGCCGCTAGTGGCGGCGGAGGTGGTGGGGGAGGTGGTACAAACATCTTTCCCACTGTTTGTGGTGGTGGCAATTTCTCTGTTGGGGTTGGCGCTGCTTCTGACGGTCGCCGAGGCAGCGGGTCATTTTTGGATGTCTCGGCAGAGGGTGGCGGCAGCGGCGTCAACCGTCCTGCTGGAAGGTGGAGGTGCTGAGTGACGGTATCAGATTCATGATGGCTTCGTGGAAGCGGTGGTGGCCTGAGATTTTCCTCCTCCGGCGTGGTCTTGCCCCGTGAGGCCTGGCCAGACGCAGACACACACCCCACCACAATGCCCTCCGCAGGTCGCTGCTGCGGGCTGCAGTGTTGGGCACCACCATCCCCCGGACGGGACGCGGATGTGGGTGTATGAGGTGTCTGGGGTGCGGGGCTACCACGCGGGACGGAGCGCTCATACAGCTGCTGAATGAAAAACGCTGAAGGTCTTCGATTTGGGACTGCATCTCTGCTCGCAGAGCGTTCCCCATTTTCTTTTCGTAATTCTTCTACGGTGACGAGAGGCTCCAGCAAGAGATCAAAGTTCATAAGGGCACGTTGCGCCGACGTCAGGTGTTTGTAGTTTTCCAGAAGCGTTTGCTCTTCTCGGCGACGTTGCTCCGCCTCGCGCTCCACTGTCTCCCGCGCGAAGCGAAGCTCAGCTTTTGCCTTCTCGAGATCAGAGGACCGTTCCTTAAGCTTCATCAGCAAGTATGTCTCACGTCTCCCAACACCACCACTACCATCAGCATTACCGGTGTTGCCCTCATCGACGCCAGGCCCTGGATCAGCAGACGACTTCCCGGTATTGCGCAGGCGATGCAGAATGACCGGCTGCCACGGGTCTGGAAAGCTCAGCGGAGGACCGCTCTTCTCGTCGTCTCCTATCCGCTCGCGAGAGGTGCCTGCACTGCTCCAAGTCATCACATTCGCCTCCTGCTGTCCAACAGCCCCAGTACCGGAGAGGTGCACAAGCACATTTCCATGGTGTTCGTCCACGCGTACATCACCTGAGCGTTGGCGGTCATTCCCCTCATGCAGCATAGTGGCATATTTATTCGCCTGCCCAGGCTCCGATGCACCGATCTTCACAACCGCGTCATTACTCCGAGGTGACTGGAGCGCCATCGCTACAGGTGGAGGCTTTGTAATTGATGGATAGGACGGATGAAACCTGGTTGCGATATATCGGTTTAAACGAGAGAGTGGTGTCTCCTCCTCCTCCTCCTCCGCCTCCTGTTTTGGTTGCTGCTTCTTCATCACTGTTTCCTCTTTGCTGGCGCTCTGCCAACCACTGTACAGGGCGTGCAGAAAAGAGGGCACCTCCGCGGTTGGCATGCCGCTCATCTCCACAACAACACCATCCAACAACTCCAAACAAACTGAAGAGGTGAGCGGCACGCGGGAGACGCACTGAGTACCTGTGGATTCACTTCGTCGCCGCTGAGCGATGCCTCCTCCCTCACACTGCACCTTCACAGCTGTAGCGTCTTCTCGTCCCGAATGCATCGTAATGGCGACAATATCTCCAAGAGGCACTCTGCATTGGTGCCCCTCTTCAACGCCGGGCCCGGCATCTGTAGCGAAAAACAGTTCATTGCTGTCCTGCAGCAGCGTCACACTGCAGCATGACGGCTGGCCAGGGCTCGTTAGGCCTGCACTTTGAACGGGAGTTTTACACAGAACGCTGCACAGCACCGAAGCCACTACATTCCCCGCCATTCTGCGCCCAGAATACCCCTCACAAAACGAAACAGAAAGAAAAAATAATTCCAACAGAGTAATATGCAGGCGTGAAAGCAGCCAAAGCAGACGACAGAGCCGCGCCAGTTTTTAATCCGCCAAAACGTAATGAGACGCGCACTACGGCCACAAAAGCCATACCTTTTCTCTCACAATATGCAAGGCAGACAGTTTCCCCCCTTTTTATTAGCAAAGTCCTTTCCTCGTTCGTAAAGGCAGATATGTGTTGACTAAAGCGGCCCATACGGCGGCGGTGGCGGATTGTCAGAGGAATTCATTGCGGATTCGTAGCTGGGCGGGGCGTCATTAAAGCCCATTGGAGGCGGCGGCGGCGGCGGCGGAGGTGGTGAAGGATATTCCACAAAGGTTGCCGCCGCTTCCCGTTGTCTGCGCAGCACCTCAGCCATTCGTTCCGCTCGATGTGGTTCCCACTGATGCTGCTGCTGCTCGAGTGACTCGATTTCTTTACGCAGGTCATCCTGACGCCTCTTCGACCCCTCAATGGCCGCCATTGCTGCCTGATTTTGCTGCATTTCTGATATTTTTTTGGCGATTTCCATATCCAACACCTCTCGGAGGCTTTCGGCTTCTAACTTACGGCACACTGCGAAGGACCTGGCGCTCGAGAGCGTAGCTTCGAGCCCATCCAATGCGGAAGAGGCGTACCGCATGACGTCCCCGAACTCCTGCCGGAGAGAGGTGTAAATGGAGCAGGCGCTCTCCAGGGCGTTGCACACCTTCTGCATCTTCTCCATGATGGGATCGGAGCTCTGCAGAACGCCCAGGCTGTTGACAGTATCCTCCGCCTCCGTCATGATTTGCTCCTCCTCTCGCACTGTCTGGTTGACACGCTCAGTCGCATCGCTAATTGCCTGCGACGCCTTGTCCAAGATGACATCGCATTGGCTAGCCTCCACCGCTGAAAGGTCATATGTCACAGTATCGGATTCAAGCAGCTCGTTCAGCTCTCTTAACTGCACTTCCTGCGTTTCCTCAACAGTATGTTTGCGCTGCACGAGTTTCCGCAGTGCCTCCACTTCCGCAACTACCTTTGCATTCTGCTGACGGGCCACCTTTGTCTCTACAAACGGCATGAGAGCATCCAAATCCTGCATTGGCCAATCAAGACGAGCGATTTCGCGCAGACACGTCTCCATCGCACCCTTCGCCTTGCCGAATGGTTCCACCAACCACTGCTGCAGTCCCTTCTCATGCTCCCGCAGCGCAGCCTCGATGGAGTGGTACTCCCCTACCTCATTGGCAGGGTGATGCACACCCCGCCACATCCGCTCGCCGTACGCGTTCACGTATGCTTCGTCCTCCTTGCGCTCCGCCTCCAGCTCCCCGCGAACCTGTTGTATCTTCTCGTTACAAGCAACCCAAAGGTCATCGCACGTCTTCACCATTGCCACAAGCGAATCCACAACGCCAACTTCTGCACCGTTTGCATCTTTGCGGAGTGATTCAATCTTGTTACGAAGCTGCGGGGGGACACGCCCACGGCTTTGCGATTCACCAGAGAGCACCTCAATGATGGCAGTCACACCCAGCTTTTGAAACCGCTCCGATGCTTTGTTGCGCATCGACGCAGATGACTTATTGCATACCGATACGATTTCTCTTTGCCTTTCACGCCACTTTGCTGCAATCGTCGCGATGTGCGCAGGGACGATGCCAAAGAAGGGGTCTTCGCCGCGTTTCGACTCAAATACGGTGAAACTGGGGTGCTCAGTGGCTTTTCCAAGCGGCCGTGGGAGGCCACTGGGCGCCTCCACCTCTTTCGGTACCCGCATGAAATACACTGAATTATTTGATGCAATTGTCTTATCATGTTCATTGTTGACAGTGTTGATGATGCTGTTGATCCAACTGCGGAGCTCTGAAGTAGGCATCTTGGGCAGCTTGGAGAAATAATCCTGCGCACTCTCGAAATGGGCAATGGCGACACCGACTTCACCGTCATCCGCCTTCAGCACCGCAAGGTGCAAGTGGGAGCGCGCGTTCAAGACCAAACCCATAGACGTGAGCAGCAACTCAACCCGTGTCGCTGAGCCACCCTTCTTGAATCCCGTATACCACTCACTTCCCCTCATTATGCTTGCGACGTCCTCGTACTGCTTCCCGCCCTCTCGTGCGATCTTGGAAAGCATGGCATGGTTCCCTTTCATGTCATTCTCCGCCTTGAGATAGGCGCAGTGGTGTGTCATTGCAAGGCAAATGCGGCGGAGCAGACTGAGCGAGCCCGACGACAAATCACCTTTTATGTGCTCTGGCGGGAGCCGCTGCAGCAGACGCTCGACCATTTCATAGTACCCCGCAGCGTTCTGGAAACCCTTGAAGGCGTTCTTCACGCCATCCACGGTTCCACTTTTGGCCTGTTGTACCGCCAAGCTCGCCCATGATGCCGCGAGGTTGTATATGCAACAGAGTAACTCGAGATTGCCATTATACGACTCATTCTTGTAGCTCTCATCGAAACTGCTTCGCCAGCAGAAGAGCATGTTTTTGTGCACCTGCGCCCCGTGGAGTGGAAGGTGCGCCTGTGCCATTGCCACCAGCTGGCAGTAGGGCTTCAGCGTGTGTTCAATGAAGTCTTCAGTAGGCAAGGCCTTTGCGTCGGAGCGGCACGTCTGTACAATCGACCTGTGAAGTGTGTTCATACGCTGGAACGTCGCCTCAACACTACTAGTGTTGTTGCTCGAGTGGTTGACGCTGATGTACTTGAGGCACATGTTCCAGTCTGGCATTTCATCTTTGCCGCGACGGAACGGCAGCGTGATGAACGGGTCAGGCAGGTGGTCAAGAGCTGCCATTCCTCTGTCTTACTACTACTGATACTACTACTATTGTTATGTATGAGGCGTGTAATATTCACAGAGTAATGCTTTGGGTGGTCTCCTGCCCACGTACAAATCGCGCACACACGCACATTTATATATAAAGAGATAGAAACGGGTGTGTAGAAGGAACGGCAGCTATGATGAATGCGAGGGCCGGTGTGGGAGAGAATATGCCACAGCAGCAGTAATACACATAGATCTGATGCAGGCAGCGTACAGCCGTGTCTCTTACATCGCCCTTGCGCGCATACATAACATGCAGCGGAGAGAGTGTGCGTGCACGTGTATATATATATATATATATATACTTGCATGTGTGTTTGTGTTCGTACTTGAGTAAGAAGGAGAAACACAACATACCAAGACACACACACACACCAAAAACCGCAACAGACACACACTTCCCTCCACGTCGCACCTCAAAGCATCCTCTACCAGTCGCACCGTTCTATCGCATTCACTCACACACACACACACACCGATGCTCCTCATTGCACTCTCACCGCCTGCACTCACGCCTTGACGCTCTTCCCGTCCACCTCCTCGTCCTCGTCTTCCTCGGCGTCTTCCATGTCAGCAGCTTCCGGTAGCAACTCTTCCACCTTTGCTAGGAACTCCGCGTCGCGGGTGGGGTCGTGGGCGTAAAAGTCCTCCTCGAAGCCACCGCCCCACACCGCCTTGTCTTCCTTCCCCTCCACAAGGGCGACGATTGACTGCGTCTTCCCCATCATCTTGGGTGCCGCAACGCCGTAGCGGTCACGCTCGCGCTCGCGCTCAGACCAGCGCCAGCCGTAGTAGTGCACGCGACGCACCTCACGCTCAAGCATGGCGCGTAGGTGCCGCTGCTCGCCACTCGGACCACGCGACAGAACCCTCGGCAATGCGTACCAGTGAAAAGATCCGACGCTCGTGCCAATGGCGACATACTGCACGTAATGCGGCGGCGGCGTTGGCGGCGCCGGCTTGAAGTTGATGACAGTGATGGCATCCTGTACAAGTTGGTGCACGAGCAGAGGCTCCCTGTTTCTATCCAAGAGGTCCCATATGAGAATCTTGCCGTCCATTGTGCCCACTACAATCACACTCACCCGCGTTGGCGCCCAGCAGGCGCAGGTAATCAGTGCATCGTGCTGCGACGAAGTGTAGATGGGGCGGTCGAGGCCTACACGCCACAGTTTGAAGTGAAGGTCCCCGCACGACAGGTACACGTCACTGATGGTGGGGTGGCGCTGCACGCTGAAGACTGGCCCCGCGTGACCGCGCGCCACTAGTCGCACCACACGCGTCTCCTCCGTGTTTGTCGAGAACTCCCGCCTCTCATCTGGGGTCAGCATGTTACACATTGCGATCTCACCAAGGGTAGTGCCGCAGCAGGCGATGTACGACGGCATCTCGTTGACACTGAGGCCGTCTACGTGGAAGCGGTATCCCATCAAGTCGCCACCACCGCCTGGCCTCGTCATTTGATACTTCAGCAGCGGCACCCACGGAAACTCCTCACCACCCACGCGGCCCTGATGCTTCATCTTGCGCAGCTTGTCGGCAGGGAGGTGCTCGGGGCGGATATCCCACACGCACATGTACCCATCGTCACTCAATGACACGAACTGCCGCCCCTCTTGTGAAGGGGTCTGTCGCCCATCAAACGCGCACTCGAGTCCGTTTGGCAGCCACTGAATGGCGTGGACAGGGCACCGGTGCGAGAGCTCAACACGAGATGACTGTATTGGCTGCAAGCGTGGTACGAGAACATCGCCGTCCCGCTCTAGACTCAGGCCCTTGACGCTACGCACACTTGGCGGGATATCCTTCGCGCCGAGTTCGGCATGAAATGCAACGTTGGGGTCCTGCATGTGGTCTCCAGTCGTCTTAGTGGAGGGCGATATCGTGGTCGTCTGATTGAGGTCCCACAAGAACAGCTGCCCATTCATAGCACCACCCGCAATGAGGTTCGGCTTTAGTGGATTGAACTGCAGGACCTGAATCTCCACTGGCGCCTCCAGCAAGGCGCGCGGGTGCATAGGATCAGCGAAGTCCCAGACGAGATTGACTGTTGTCTCGCAGCGCCGCTCCGACTCGATGCGCTGCTCCAACGTATGTCGCGCAACGGATGCAATGCAGACATAGTCATCCTTTCCACGGAAGCTGCGCCAGCTGATGGAGGACACGCGCAAGTCCTTCATTGTGGTGTGAGTGTAATTACCCTTCTCAATGAGGACGGTATCATCGCGAGAACCGACAATTGCATCATCATCTGTGAAGAGAGAAAAGTCGTCCTGATATATCGGCACCTCGTAGTTCTGAAGCAGGCAGTGCAGCACACGTGGAAGCGCCTTGTTGAAGAAGGCCATCATAGCAGGCGCCTCGCTCTTGGGAAGCGTGATGTTTCGTATGCACGCGTCCACGAGCGTCGGCTCCACCTGCAGCGCGGCGTCCACTTTGCGCGAGAAGGGCGTCTGCGACGTACGGCTCTGCAGCGACGGCACCGCCTGCACGCCGATGTCCACCTCATCGCGCACCACGTCGATCGCGATGTGCGTTGTGCCGCGCTGATCGCGGCTGTCCTCACTGGCCTCCTTCGTCAGGTAGCTCGTGTGCACCATGCGCTGGTGCAGCAGCACGTCGCGCCGCACCTCGAAGGTGACCCGCACCGGCGTCCGCTTCTTCACGCTGTATCCGTTCTCCTCCATGATCTCCTTCTCGCTGCCGAGGCTCTCCCACGTCCCCCGCGGCACGATCGTCTTGAGTTCCTCGGCGAGGTTCAGCAGCTCGTCCGACACCCAGTCCGCCGCGCAGCCGCTCACGCGCCGCTCGGTCTTTGCCGCCGCAAAGCCGAGAAACGCGCCAACGCCGGAGGAGCTGTTGGCCGCCGGNCGCCGCTCGGTCTTTGCCGCCGCAAAGCCGAGAAACGCGCCAACGCCGGAGGAGCTGTTGGCCGCCGGCTCCGCGTCGAGCTGGGCGGACTTCACGAGGCTCTGCGAGGGGCTCTGCGACTGCAGGCTCTCCGTGTCGGCGGACATGGGCGCTGTTTTCCCTTCCCACTCTAATGGCTGAGTGCGTGGCGTCGCCGCAGGAGCGAAGGTCAGATCCACAAGGGAAGAGAAGGGAGAGAGAGAGAGAGAGAGAACAAGGCAGAAAAACAAAAACGGCATTCACACAAACTCATTGCTGCGAGTGATTATGTTTTTTCTCCACATTTCGCTCATGCGCGGGTGGTGGCGAGGCGGAAGTACACGCCACCTGAGTGACTCTCCTGCACAAGAAGAGGATGGGAACGAAGGAAGGAAGGAAAGAAGAACACCGCCGCCGTTGCTGCAGAAGCAACAAGCAGCCGCAGCAGGAAGGAACGGGGGGGAAGGAGTGAGGCGCGGCAGCAAGACGACGCCCTCCGCACATGCCTGCATGAGTGCAGGGTGGAGGAGCAAGCCCGCTTAACCGTCGCGCTCTCGACCGACGCGGACAAACACATGTTGCCGGTGAAAACGGGCAAAGAGCGTGAAGGCTCCCTCACCGTCCCTGCGCAAGCAAGCAATAAAAAAAAAGTAAATGCGACACCCAGCACGTATAGGTGTGCGAAGAGAAAAATCCGTCAAATGTCTCTCTCTCTCTCTCTCCCTCACTCCTCCCCCTGTTGCTCTTATTCTCCTTTCGTGTGGTGCTCTTCTGCCATTCATCCACCGGCCTCCAGAGAGACCGCACTTCCTCACTTGCCACACACACACACACACATATATATACATATATATATGCCCCTTTCCTTTCTTTCTCTTTCCGCAGCCCTGCTTTCTTTGTTTCCTGTTCGTCTCCTCGTTAGCACCACAACTACAGCAGCAGTAACGCGAACAATAATAGTAATAACACAGGATGTGCCATGTGAGCGTGAAGTTGTGGAAGCACCGTAGGCATTGGGCCCTAAAATAGAAGAGAAAATTAATTTATTTTCGCCTCTACCTCCCCCTTCTTGTTCTCTTCCCCTTTAGTGCGCCGCACTCGTCTCACCCGTCACGTCATTCCCCCCCCNTTGCTGCTGCTGCTCCGCTGCTCTTCCTCTCCTCCCTCGTTTTGCCTTTACAGTCGGACCCTCTCCAGTTGTGCACATCCCCTTGTTTTCTTCCCGTGGACTTCTCTTTTTTTTTTCTCTCCCTCCCCTGTATTGGTTTGGCTTGTTTCTCATTTCTTTCTTTTTTTTTGTCCCTCAACCCAAACTTCCCCATTCTTTTTTTACTCTCTTTTCCTTCGCCTTCAGTTGTCGTTGCTGCCGTATTTCGTTTCCCCCTTTCCCTCAAGGCATTCATTCCCCCTCCCCCGGCGCCTCCACCACTCCCACACCCACATGCTGCTGCTGCTATGGGCTACGGCTTCCCACCGCCGTGCGGGGTGAAGATGAACTTCGCGGAGGATGGCAGACCCGCCTCGCGCACTAGCTGCTTCTCAATGCGCGCAACCGCCTCGCTGGCGCCGGCGTCGCGCAGCCACAGCGCGATGCGGTTGTGGTACTTGCGCTTCGACAGCACAACACCCATGATATGATCGCCGTCGGCGTCGGGGTCAAGGTACTCGCCCACCATCGCCATGAGGACGTTCTCCCAAATCGCGTCGAGCTCAGGCTTCTTTTCGCCCTCCTGTTCCTCCTTCTTCGCCTTGCCGTGGTGATTAGCGTTGTTACCACTGCTACTATTGTTGTTGGCGTTGGCAGCGTTGTTGTTAGCAGCAGCAGCAGTAGCGGCGTCGCCGCTTCCGCCGCCACCCGTCGCGTTGGCGGTGTCCCACTTCTTTCCGCCGGCATCGCCGCCCCCCTTCTCGTCAAGGCTCACCCAGATCTTCCCGCCGGCCTTGTTGCTCGGGTCCTCCCACATCGGCTTGACCCCCTCGCGGAAGAAGTGGTACTGCGCCGATATCCGAAGCACGTGCGGCGGCTTGCAGTAGTGCAGCATCGTGAAGAAATCCTCCACGGTGCGCACCGTCATCACCTCGACGAGGGACAGCTCCCACTGTTGGCTGTCGTACGTCGACAGGGAGTCGTACCACAGCGTCCACGCACGGTTCAGCGGATGCTTCTTGAGGCCCTTGTCGATGCCCGGCGTCGCCGCTGCCTGCTTCGCGTCATGCTGCTGCTGCTGGTGGTGGTGGTGGTGATGGGCGGCGTCGCCCTTTGCCGCTGCGGCTCCCGCAGCCGCCTCCCTTGGCTTCGCGTCAGACATCAGTAACTTCTCCCAGAGACACACATATACACAAACGCAGAAACGAGGGGCACGAGCAACAGCAAGCATATACTTGGCTGCATTCCAGGGAATGTACACAAACACACATATACATTCATACAGAAGTTTTAAGCCAAGCAGAGGCACCGCCAGGGGGGGGGAGAAGTACACAATACAAGCGGACACGCAAACACAGACGCAACTCACATTTCCCTCATTCCACAGCAGCAGCCCCGTCACACAAAAGGCGTTGCGATTGAGAGACCCAGCTCCAGTCCCGTTGCAAACGCCACAAACAAATGCGTGAACGACCAGCCCCACCAAAGCAAAGGGGGCGCACAATCACCACATCGGAAACTGGAAAGAGGCGCGGTGCTGCACGTATACTTGGGCAGAGCCAAAAACACCATCGAAGTCCTCCCACCAAACGAGAGATAACGACCAAACCGAAAAACCACCACCAGCAGCAGCAGCAGCAGTTGGCGACTTCCATATTTTCTCATGCGTTTGCAAATAGTCCGCATTCCAAGCTTGCAGCGCCGATACATAATCAAATGTTTGTCGCGCACGCCACATGTCGCGCCGCAAAGGCGTCTGGCGCTTCGGTGTCCACCACCCAAAGTCCTCTGTGCCACCGCGACACAGACTCAATGTCCGCCGTCATTCATTCATTCAGGCACTAGTTGCCGCAGCCCCAGCGCCCTTTATTCTGCCTCGCCATGTGTACTTGCCTGCGTGCGCGGGGGTGCAGCAGTACAGAAAAAGAGGAAAGAAAAAGAAACGTGGAGCGGGGAGGGGGGGGNGGCATTGCCGCGGCTCCGGCTGCCGAGCGAACTCAGCGGGGACGAGGCAACATTGACGAGTCGTTGACGCCGCCACATGAGGTGCGCAAAAGCGAAAAAGAAGAGAACGAGCTGCACCTTCCCTCGGGAAGAGAAATCACGAAGGAAAAACAAAAAATACGCCGACCGGCCGTTAGAGTGCAGAAGAAGGAAGACGTATTTGCATGAAACTTCCTGCGCGTGCGGAGGGCGCTTCAGTGTTGTTATAATTCGCCGTAACGTCGCCGCCTGTTCTTGTGCGGCTGGGAAGGAGAGAGAGATGAAGAGGGAAGCAGGCAGAAAAACTGTGTGTGTGAGAGAGAGAGAGAAAACGCGCGAAGGAGTCCAGCCTCCGCAATACTTTCATTTTGAGTGATTTTCCTCTTCATTTATTT